GGGTGGGGGTTCCACAGCCTTTTCTGGCTGGCAGTTTCAGAAACACACAGCATTTCACATTCATAGGAGTCTCTCTTCTTATCTGTAGCGGTTTAGATGAAAACTTCACTATCAGATAAAGTATATCTATTTTTTTTTCCTTTATTTCCATCCTCACAATGGTATTTCTCACTGTTTCTCCATGTCCCCTTCTGTCCTGTGCCCCAACACACGCAGTGACACAGATGCAGTCCTGAATGGGGAGGTGACACCACAACAAGAAACCAACCAGCCAGTGCCCTATGTCTTTAGAAGAAGCGAACCACACAATGCGGTTACAGATGACACCCCCTTTAAACTCATGTTGAGAGTTTAAGTCTGACACCTTAAGTGTAGGTGTTAAGTAGGCGAGTAAAGGAAGTGACAAGAGGTAGAAAGAGAGACTTCGAAAGTAGCAGCCATTGTGAAGTAGCACCAGGACCAGATAAAAAAAAAAAAAAAAAGAAAAAAAAAAGAAAAAACCCTCGGGCAGAACACATCTAGAACACAAATAGTGTCACCTTTCCCAACTGATCACATAAGAGCAGGAAGCTGTGATGTAACACTCCAGGACTCACACAAACATTAGTCACAGACAGCACAGTCCCCTTCCTCCACTCTGCCTGCTCAGGATTGAAGTCCATTTGTGAAGGTACACACACGCACTGCTCTCTCTCTAGGTTCACAAGCCCACGCACACTTTCGTGGACCCACAAGTACCAGCACAGCACCCCTCCGCCTGACACCCCTGCCCCAGATCCCAGCATCTGGGAGGGCTGGCTGACACTCCAGAGGGATGTCCTGCCATCCAGTGTGACCTGGACAGGCTGGAGAGCTGGGCAGAGAAGAACCTAATGAGGTTCAACAAGGGCAAGTGTAGGGTCCTGCACCTGGGGAGGAAGAATCCCAGGCACTAATATAGGTTAGGGGTGGATCTTCTGGGAAGTACTACTGAGGAAAAGGATCTGGGAGTCCTGGTGGATGGCAGGATCTCCATGAGCCAGCAATGTGCCCTTGTTGCCAAGAGGGCCAATGGGATCCTGGGCTGCGTAGGGAAGAGTGTGGCCAGGAGGTGGAGGGACGTCGTTCTCCCCCTCTGCTCTGCACTGGGGAATCCTGCGTCCAGTTCTGGGCTCCCCAGTTCAAGAGGGACAGGGAACTACTAGAGAGAGTCCAGCGTAGGGCAACAAGGATGATGGAGGGATTGGAGCATCTCCCTGATGAGGAAAGGCTGAGAGAGCTGGGACTCTTGAGCCTGGAGAAGAGAAGGCTGAGGGGAGACCTTATTGATGCTGATAAGTATCTAAAGGGTGGGTTGAGGGAGGATGGAGCTGGACTCTTTTTAGTGGTTCCCAGTGACAGGACAAGGGGCAACGGGCACAAGCTGGAACATAGGAGGTTCCACTCAAATCTGAGGAAGAACTTCTTTGGGGTGAGGGTGGCAGAGCCCTGGCAGAGGCTGCCCAGGGAGGGTGTGGAGTCCCCTTCTCTGGAGATCTTCAAGCCCCACCTGGATGCTCCTGAGTGATGTGCTCTGGGCAGCCCTGCTTTGGCAGGGGAGTTGGACTAGATGATCTCTAGAGGTCCCTTCCAACTCTGACAATTCCGTGATTCCATGATCTTTTACCCACCTCATAGGTGCCATACTCACCAGCAGGTCCAGCTCAGTACTCACTAGAAAGCAGACCCATACATTCACACACTTATCTCACAGGCACCCCGCACTCACAGGAACCCCCAAATACCAGCAGAGACCCTCTGCCCACCTGGTGCCCCTGCCTGGACCCAGACATGGCAGGTGCACACCCCCTCCAACTGCAAAGGACCAAAACTTCTTGAAGCCGCATGATGACTATTGTCACGTACACGCTTTGGTCGAAAGACGAGGAATTGAAGACCCTCAGCCAATGAGCACTAACATGACCATATATGATCACAGATCAGATTCAACCAGGGTATAAATGAAGCCCCACCAGAGGGTAAAGTGAGTGAGTCCTCCTCGGAGCATCAGGTCTGCAGTTGGGGACCTACCCAGTGGGTTGGGACACCACCTAAGGTAAACTCCTGCAGGTTGAGAGCCCTCGCTTGATTTGGTGAAGCCCTTGCTTTATTTGGTGAGTGATTGTGCATTTTGGATCCTTGTTTCTAAAACTTAAGAACTCTTAAGTCGGCTGTGTAGTATTCATTCCACTTTACATCTTGAACCTGTGGTTTACTAATGTTGTGGGACTCTTAAACGGTTTGGTTGGCATAAAGTTGTTGGGTATTTGGAGTTTATCACCTGCCTAACTTAATTTTCTTATAAGTTTCTGCCACACCAGGGCCTCCTGCTCTCTGGCTGGTGCAGCTTGGAGCTTGATAGGGAATTGCATGGGCACAGCCCACGCGCCCCAGGCTGGGACACCCACGGTCCCCCTCCAGCTGCCAGCACTGAGCCCCTCGCTTGCTCTGGTCCCCCCACCAGCTGTACCCAGGCCACACAGACACCGGTCCCCACCCCGGGGCTGGGATGAATCCCTCACCTACCTCAGAGCCTGGCATCACCCCCCCTCCATCATGTGCAGGGCTGGGTCAGCCAAGGGCTTACACACCATCAGCAGCTGCTCACTCGACCCATCCCCTGTTTCACCCCGTCCCCTCTGTTCACCTCCCTTCGCCTAAACGTTCCTCAACAATCTTTGTACAGTCTTGCAGGCCCACCTCCAATACCCTAAATCCTCCTGTTCCTCTTGCTGCCCCCTTCTCATCAGTTCAAAGCCCAGGCTGTCCCTCTCTGAAGATGAGTGGAGTTTCCTGATGGCCCCTCAGTTAGTGGCTGAAGACTCGTGGTCTTTGGCATTGCAAGATGGTCCTCAAACCTGGTCCTCAAACCAGGACACTCTGCTATTTCTTGTGCACCACGTTTGTGTCTCTCCAGATTTCTGCTTAATCCTTTCTTCCTTATTATCTTCTTTTGCATTGAAAAGGTCCTTGATTGGATAACCTTAACGAAGCAGAGGCTTTTGCCTTCTGTACACATAGGTGTACAGAAGGATTTTAGTCTCAGCATGAGCAGAATGATCAGTTTCCTATGATTACTTCAGAATTCACTACATGGATGGTCTTTGGCATTACAAAATGGTCCTCAAACCTGGTCTTCAAACCAGGACACTCTGCTATTTCTTGTGCACCACGTTTGTGTCTCTCCAGATTTCTGCTTAATCCTTTCTTCCTTATTATCTTCTTTTGCATTGAAAGGGTCCTTGATTGGATAACCTTAATGAAGCAGAGGCTTTTGCCTTCTGTACACATAGGTGTACAGAAGGATTTTAGTCTCAGCATGAGCAGAATGATCAGTTTCCTATGATTACTTCAGAATTCACTACATGGAGGAGATGCTTGGGGCTTGGGTAGGTCAGAAGAGAATATTTTGATGAGGAAAAGTTATAGCAGAGCTGTCGCCTCTGGATAAATCTTTCATTACTTTTCACTTGAATCGCTGTAACAAGAATAAAAGCAATTAAATATTTGTACCTGAGTCAGGGCACGATCAGGTGTTCCTTTCTTTGCTGTACCAATAGCCTGTATGTGATCTTGTACATATACAGCTGAGCTGCAGGTCTCAGCTCTTCACCACAACCTATCCTCAAGATGAAGTGAAGAGATAGGAGTGACACCGTACGCTGTAGAAATTTACACTATAAAAAAATGCTGCTCTGTTTAGATGAGTTTATTTTTCTGTTAATTGTTTTTCAAATTAATTTCAAATGTATTTTCATGAGAAGTCTTGAGTCTGAGATAACCAAAAACCAGGGCAGCAAAAAAACCCCCACAAACAAACAAACAAACAAGCAAACCAACCAGAAATGGAGGTGTTTGGCTTAAGTTCTTTAACTATGTTGCATGTTGCAATACAAGCCTATCTGCTGAAACACACAAAGAAGTGGCATGATGACATATACATGGCATCACAAAAAAGCAGCACCCAGACCTTCCTCGTTGCCTTTCTTATTAAACGTTCCTTCCTGTGAGCAAAAAGCAATAAAGCTTTTTGTGAAGCTAATGCTTCCTGTCTGGTTGAAGCTACAGTCTTCAGAAGAAGCGTTTCCTATAAGCTGGTGTTATCTTGTCAAAGTGTGGATTTGATGTGGTTTACTGTTTGTGACAAGAAAGAGGAGCCAGATGCAAGCTGTAACCCAAGTTGTTTTGACTCTGCACTTCCTGCACAGGTATATGCCAGCTCTGGGCTGGAGGACTGCATATGGTTTGATTAGTTATGTTTTAATAAGTTTAATTATTTATTTTTTTTTATACTGAGTTAAAAAAAAGAAGCCTTTTATTAGATTTAATGTTGCATTCTGTATTTAAATTTTTTGATACATCTGTGTTTTAAAGTAAGAACATTCTGCCCTAGAATACGTGGTCAGCTGCAGGAGTATAACGAAGAACTCAGAGGCACGGGGGTAGAATTTAGACCCAGTTTGCTGGGGAGTGTGATAAGTTTGATGTTTATGTCAAAAACCTGCCCACAAGGAGCCACAGATTTTGTAAAACAGTGCTAAAGCTCTTCACCCAGTCAGTGCCCACCCTCTGTGTGATTCCTGCTGTGTGTCTCATCAGGGCCCGTGGACTTGTCTACGTACATTTCATTTAAACGCTCCCTAATGTGATCCTCCTCTACAGAGGAGAAGTCTACCTTGCGCTGGACTTTCTCTCAGTTTTTGTAGACCAGAGATTGCTGGAGGTAGGTCATCACGTCACTCCATCCAAAGATGGAGAAGGCGGCGGCACTGAATCACGGAGTAAATCACCCTTTTCTATGTCATTGTGACCAGCTCCACTGCACATTCAGCAGCAGGATCACATTTTTTCCTCATCCTTGTCTTGCTGATGTATCTGTAGAAGCATTTTCTTGTTGCCCTTCACATCCCTTTTCAGATTTGAATCCGGGTGGGCTTTGGCTTTCCTAACCCCATCCCTGGTGGCACTGAATCACGGAGTATATCACCCTTTTCTATGTCGTTGCGACCAGCTCCACTGCACGTTCAGCAGCAGGCTCACATTTTTTCCTGGTCTTTGTCTTGCTGATGTACCTGTAGAAGCGTTTTCTTGTTGCCCTTCACATCCCTTTTCAGATTTGAATCCGGGTGGGCTTTGGCTTTCCTAACCCCATCCCTGCAGGTTAGGGGATTCCTCCTGGGTGACCTGACCCCGCTGCAACCTCTTGTACACTTACCTTTGATGCCTAAGTTTAGTCAGGAGCTGCTTGCTCATCCACGCAGGCCCACTGCCACCTTTGCTTTGTATTCTACTCATTGGGATGGACCCTTCTTGACTTCAGAGGAGCTGAAAACCAACCAGTTATTCTGAACCACTCTTCTCTCCAGGACTGCCAGCTAGGGGATTCTTGAAAGCAGATTCCTGAGCAGGCCGAAGTCTCATCTCCTTTTTCATTTTTTGCCCCTTCTTCTGAGAAGATCCTGAACTCCACCACCTTCTCAGTTACTGCAGTCAAGCCCAACCCCAAGGTTTACATCTTTGACCCGTTCTTGTTCATGCCCTTAAAAATAAATGGAGTGAGAAGAAAAAGAAAGGAAAAGAAATGAAGAAAAGGGATGGAAATTATTTTTATCTTTTGATATTGAAGACACCTGTTCCTGTTAACTTATAAAGTGAAAATAGTTACGCAAATGTTCATAAAATTATGTTTCCTGATTTTGATTAATTCTCAGAGTTAACAACATGAGTGATTTGTGAAGTCCTGTTTTGTTCTGAAGGTACTATAATTTCTCTTGTCCATCTGAAGTCAAATCTCAACCTACCTGTAAAGCAGGCGTGGGCAGCTTTTTTCTACACAGACCAAAGACTTGCATGAAAAGGCTGATACTGTTGGGCAAACCAGAGGAATTGTTCTTGTAGGAAAGGAACTGGCAGCATAAGCCCATGATTTCAGTAATGGATTCTACAGATTCAACTTATTCTATGCATTCTGTTGCTCAGCGAATGTGACATTGCGATTAGCTCAGAGTTTGGTGTGACCATGGCAGGCACAGGATTTGCCACTGTTAAGTCTGAAAGGTTAAAGCTTTGTGCTTGGGGTAGAAGAATGCAAGTTTCCTGTGTGCGTGACCACAATACTCTTTTCTCATCTCTCAGTTCCTCTGTTTCAGTCTGACTGTAATGCTCAGTTTGTAACCCTGCAGAGTCACATATGGATACCAGAAGAGATGCATCACCTGTTCTGCTATTGTATTTCAGCTTCCTCCTGTGGAATTAAGGTAACCTCCCACCGATTTTCTTGTCTGAATGCTCAAAGAGTTTTGGTTTTTAAATCAGTTATGTGAATCATTGGTATAGACCAAATGCATCTCTATTTTTTTTATCGATGGCGCTTGCAGTGAAAGAGAGAAATGCGTTCTGCAAATTGTCCTGCTAGAATTACCCATTGGCCTCTTCTCCCAAGGGAATAACCACAGGACCAGAGGAAATGGTCTGAAGTTGGGGCAGGGGAGGTTTAGATTAGATCTTAGGAAGAATTACTTTCCTGAGAGGGTGGCCAGGGACTGGAACGGCCTGCCCAGGGAGGTGGTGGAGTCACCATCCCTGGAGGTATTTCAGAAA